AATAATATGAACTACGAAAATTAGTAACCACTTGGTAATTATAGAAAGCAATTACTTACGTACGAAATATTACATTACAACCACAATGTTCAGTATTTTGTTTTACTAATAATAACATAATGAACAAATAAACTGATGGGAATCAGACGGATAACCTGCATTAATTACTAATGTTATCTGTTAAATTCACCCACAAATGTAATTACCCACAAATAGCGTAGGTCATATTGCGTATTAGACCATATAGATCAAAGTTCGGTTACTTTATATGTATAAACTACTTATTTTTACGGTTGCATTTTCTCTCTCTCTTTCTCTCTCTCTCTCTTTCTCTCTCTCTCTCTCTCTCTCTCTCTCTCTCTCTCTCTCTCTCTCTCTGCTTCAGTATCACGTTTGCGCTATCAGTCCTGAATCATAGGGAACATCCGTTCGTTGTTAAGGGCATAGGGGAAGCCACATATGCGCGAAAGTCTGAGTCGTAACTTTCAACAGCGATGAAATATCTCTTGCGAGATGGTCTACTGTGCATTCGCCGTCTCGCGCGAGATCGAACCACCGCATCCTCCACTGCGTCCCGTTGCAATTTGAACGCGCACGGCTGATCCTGCACTCCTTCCGACTACGTCGAAGTTTGAGCTGAAAAATCGCGTGATATTTTTATAACGGGAAATCACTGATTTCACGGTTGCTGCTACAAATTATCCGAGCAATTTCAGGAGGATATGTATTTTCGAAAGTGATTTGTTCATTGCGTAATTCGAAATCGATTTCAACAAAACTAGTTTGCTGAGCTTTCGGCAGAAGTCATTTTGCTAATGGAATAGTTAATAAATTAAATAGTATGTTAACTGAAACAATTTTTCTTTTATAGTTTCTTATGTATTTAATTTTTTGCTACATCATATTAGATAATTTTTGTTTCGTCGAATCATTAAATTTACAAGCAGGACTCGGTAAAATAATTGATACGATTTATTTAAAATAAAAAATAAGTATGTTCTGAAAACTTTCCGATAAAAAATTTGTCATGCGTGAATATGTATCAATATGTATAAATATATATAAACATATATAAATATTTATAAATATGTATAAATATTTATAAACATGCATAATTTTATATAAATATATTCATATAACATGTTTATACATCCTTCTTTCTTTTGTAAAATTACTTTTAAGTGTAATAGAAGTATTGGTAATAATAATAATGTGAAAATATTAAAAACAATTAAAAAGGTAATTTTCGCATTAGTTGTTTTAGAAAATATCAAGTTTGAAGAAATGTAAAATAATTATAAAATTATACATAATTGTGTATGAGCAATTTTTTTACATTTTTTTCAACTTACATTTTTTACTTGTTTTTTTTTTCTAAAATAAACAATGTGAAAATTATTCCTTTAAAAATTGTTTGTTTTTACATGAGTATTATTATTTCTAATTAAAAAGTAATTTCATAAAAGAAAGAGGGATATGTATGGACATATTTCATATATAATTATACATGTTTATGAATATTTATACGTGTTTATGTATATTTATATACATTTATACACATTTATGCATGAAAAATTTTTTAATATTTAAAATATTAAATAAGAAATAGATTAGAAGAACTTATTTAAAATATAAATCTTTAACTATTTTATTTTAAATACATTCGAGCTCTGCACATGAGAAATAGGTATATAAATATATATTCTATTGTTATTTTTTTATATAAATTACACTTTAGTTGTTCTTCTAAATTGAATTATTATTAATTTTTGTAGTTTGTGAATAGAAAGGCATAAATTTTGTATTGTTCGATTTTATATGGAATTTAAAATATTTAATATATTTCTTCTAACAAATTTCATGCTCCTTTTGTCTTATTTAAATAGTCGTTTATAAAGTTTTAGAGGAAGAAGTTTAAGAGAATAAATTGAGTATAATCTGCTTTAGTTCAATAGTTTTCACATTTTCGCGCGCAATTACTTCGGACCATTATATGTAGGCGACTGATCAAGTTAACTATTCGTTACCGGCCTTCTAATCCCAACGATAGCAGGCTGTATCTGAGTTCATAAGACATTGACGGTCCCCGGAAATCGATATCCTCTCTCGGTCGCGGCTAGTAGGTACCAAATACGCAAATACCGGAATGCATTGCATGTCAGGATTCGAAGTGAATTCCCTTCCTCAGACCGACACGCGCTAAGTTTATTTGCCTCGTTGAATTATTTATTACACTCCCATGTTCTGACGACACGTTAATGTCTCCCCCCTGCTTCTCTCAACCTCGTTTCCTCGCTTCGAACTTTATAATTTATCGCGGATGACCGCGATAACGAAGCATCGATAAAAGAGCCTTAATGGAGACAGTTCCGACATGGACGGATGTTTGAATTTGAAGAATCTTTGCTCGTTGTTGTTACATATAAACTAGGTATTCTGGTATTAACGCGATTCATCACCCGCTGGGAAAACTACGTCTTACCCCGAGGCTGCCTTTCAATAAGCAACAAGCTAGGGAGATTGAAATTACCCCTGTAGGATAATGCAATTTCTTAGCCCTTTCTACTCCGGGGTTTGTATTCGAATTAACGAGTTTTGACGAAAATCCTTCCGGTCTGTTCTATCTTGTATACGTCCGCGTTATCGCGAGACGGTAATTTGTTCCATTTGCGTCTCCATCGGAGACATGCGAAGTCACACCGACCCCGATAAAGCAATATTTTCTCGTCGCCGTAGTTTATAAACGGTCGATTGGATCGAAAGATAGCTGTCAAATTCAGCATTAAACTCCATTGACGCTGTCGATCTCACACATTTCTATATTTTTTTTTCTATATTTTTACGCAGAATAGACAAGCCAAATAAATTTTTATCTCGTTATTTTGTAATTATTCCATGTATATATACATTCCGATTAAAACGTATGCATGTTCAATAACGACGTTACATATTCGATCAACGATGTTATTGCTAATATTTGCCGCCCTCAATGCGGTTCAACTAATTTTCATAAATACATACAAAAGGGTAACTTAATTAGATAGAACTGGTTTTATGTCAAAGTACGTGCGCTTGTATATATTGCGTTCACCAACATTGTACAGAGAGCCAACTAGTTGGCTGGATGGTACAATGTAATCGAATGTCTATAAATGTTGTAATGGATGTGGAATATAACGAGGGACCTTGTGCCTCGAGGAAAGTGGGTAATATGAGTGTACTAGGGGTTAAGTCGCTACGGATGTGGGCCGTGTTTGAGTACAGTTTCCAGAGCAAGTCGTTACCCTGTCGTTACCTACCATTGTTAAATACGAAGAAAGAAAAGACCACTGATACGGAAGTGGGTCCTTTGTCGGTGATATAGTGCCGAATTAATTATAATTGGCTATAATAAAATTGTTGGAATTTCTGTGTCGTCACCCTTCCGTGTTCAACCCTTCATAGACCGATATATTGTTGGGGCGCAGAAATAAAAATAGAAAAACGGGATATCCGTTTCCAAGGGTGAATGTAAGTGTTTGTGTGTAATATATATAGATCTAAATATATATAGCAAGAGAGAGTGATAAGTATATTTATCGATAACCTACGAGAAATTAAATTTTACGAGACGCGTAAATTTTATTTTTATGATAGATTAAAAAAAATGGTAATTTTTTAAATAATTTTTCCAGTATTTTGAGATTCGTTAGGGTTACGTGTCCACTTGCGTACCTACGGTAAGAAAAATAAATAATTTCTTGCCTTAGAATGCTGCATTGGAATTTCTGGGGTAGGTCGGTATTCGTAGTTCGTTCTTCAGAGATATCTTAAATAATACCTTAGGATTCTACGTTTCTTTAATTAGCTTAATAACATTGTAAGACTGTACTTAAGACGGTCTTAAATATAAGAAATGTTTATGAATACCTGCCGTAAGAAAATAGACAGGCAACGACATTATTTACAACGCGACCGCGATACTCGTGACTACATTATTGAATAATTTTTTAAACGGGACAGGCGAGAGTTTGTGGAAGAGCTGATCAATATGTCGCGAAATTCAAGTATATGCCTTATGGACGAGAAATCTGGGACGAAAATACTGTCCTGTCATCCTACGAATACCTGCGAGTCTCGTGAGCTCAATCTCATGAATTGTGATAGATCGATATGGATTTTGTTTAGCTTAATAATTATATACATCGTTGGAAGTAATTTTTTATTGTGAAAGGAGAAAGAATTGGCACACGAAAGAGATTCCTGATTTCACGAATCCATCAATCAGATATAACATATTAGAGGAAACGGTCAAGGTTACGATTCGGTATTGGCAATTCCGAGCGAGTAGAACAGGTCAACTATGAATAAACGCTCGAATTTTGGCCCCATCGCGTTTTATTTTCGTCGGAGTTTCCTCCCCTTAAAGCTTTAACTCACGCGGAGCTGATGTTATATTATGCAGGGGCTCTGAGTTAATTTGGTATTACTAGTATTACAATAGCGCTTCTTCAAGCGGTCTGACTGAAATATTCAGCGAGAACGAAGACGCCAATTGGTTGGATTGGATGATAACCGTTTTCTTTCAGCGATGCTTGCGAAGTGCAACGTAGATGAAATTAAATGGTTCTCTTACTTATGCAGTATTAGTAACGCGATTCCTTTTTTTGGGAATTACTTTAAGAAAGTAATTCGAAAAGTGTTCTTGTTAATTTTGACGCGTACGACAATCCACGAATGAAAAAAAAAAGCATTTTTGTATTTCTTCGCGTTGTATCCTTTTTTATGTATGTGATTTTTAAAGGGAGATAAAAAATTTGTCATATATAATACATTATGCATGTACATATATTTTGCGTCCGTTGCGAAGGGCAATCTCTGAAAAAAATCTCGTTTAGGGTATTTTCGACCCAATGCGATCCTTCTCGGATATTCCAGTGAAATACGTGTGGACGGTACGTATATTTACATTCACGCAAATATGCATTGAGATAAAATGTCATGCAATAGAAATTCAAAACATCTTGATACGCTCTTCAAAAGCCACGAATTTGATGGGCCAAAATATATAGGTATTTCTGGATTTTCTCGATTGGCATCGCTGTAATCAGACATTAGGGAGTTTTTGCAATACCGTTTATCCAAATACGGTGAACGCTAAGGTCAAGTTATCTTCTTTTTAACAACTACTTAAGAAAAAGATAACGTGACTTTAATTCATCGTATTCGGATTCACGTTACTGCAAAAACTCTCTATTTTCTTGAATATCGAAATACGTAAATGTTTATAGATGGATACTGATTTTGAAATTAATCTGAAAAATAAATGTTTTAAACAAAGGTGTATCATCCGATCAATATTGGCTCGTTCTATTTGTTGACGCAAGAAATTCGATAGAAATACGTTCGAAACGAATAATACAACGTGCGATGTACAAATAAATTACTTAATGTATTTTCTCATATATTATCCATTTTGTAATGGAATTGAGCATCTAACCGTATCTGGCGAAATTTTCTGTGAAATAATTTTACTTAAATAAGAAGACTTTTCGATACGAGAAAACGTCTCTGTTGTGCGGAAAATACAATTCCGTTACTTCTACGTCTTTTGGTAACCGTGCATGTGTAATATATGTTTGTGCATTTTTCGTGTAGAGATTGCAGGTCGCGTGAAATAAGCGTTCTTGTGACGGCTTTACCTGAAATCTTGTTATAAAACGGCGTGTGCGGGTCACGGTGCGTTTCGCCTAGTTGCACCGTAAAATATGCTCTCCGGGGAAATAAAAGGGCATTTTAAGAATCGATTTCCACATCCACGTGACCGACATATTGCGCTGCTGTTGAACGAATATGATCTTCCATTTGTATTATGCGTGGAAGATTCATCGCGCGCGTGTACATAATGTGTCTATGAGAATGAGATTCTCTGCGTAATTATATATAAATAACATTACTGTCATTTGTCCAAATGGAGAGCGATGTGTCTCTTTTATGTCGTCGCGTTGGTGATATATTACTGAAGATAAATTGTGCCGAATATAGTTCACGGCCACGCTGCACAAATTTCTGGTAAAATCCGGTGCTGGTTCTGTGTCAAGTGTTGTACTATTGTTGAAATATTTTTGGCGTGACCCTTTTTGCATTAACTAAAGTGACCGTGATCCGTTCTGGATATAAAGTGACTTCCTTTAAAAAATATATTACCTTTATTTAACGAAAGTAATAATTTTATTATTTTAATTTTATTATTTTATGTGAAGTCGACGTTCGTTATAAATTGAATTTAAACCTGTCCCAAGCAAACGGTGTATAATGGAGTTTTTCATTCTAGAACGTAAAAGAAACATTATCTCAGATATGAAATTGTAACTTTTTACATTACTTTTTCGATTTCTAGAAAAATATCTTTGTAGAATAATAATATGTTAGTTGTTTGTAGCGATATAATTCTTCGAGTTAAAATGGATCGGATAGGACGTTACAGTTAGTTCGAAGTTAGATGAGATCGTAGAAGTATGAACATGGTATTAGGTTACTACTGATTGCCGAAAATAATGAGACGCGGTAGATAATGAATGTCGCTTTTAAACTTCTCTGGAAAGTGATTTTAGTCTGCGAGTTTGTGTTGCTTCAATTTGTTAAGTGCTCTTTTGGTATAATCGATTTTCAGAGATCAGGCCATGTATCTTGCCGGAGACAACTGAGATAATTCAACCTGTTCTTGTGCCCACAAAATTTTATATTCGGCTGAGCAAAGCTTGTATTTTCATTTTCTCGGGCTTTTGGTTTGTATCTGTCTGTCGCTTGGATAAGACCTCGGCGCTGGCTTTGGCTGCATTCACTGACATTTCCATTCGATGTTTATCGTACATCTTTTTCCACAGAGATCTCTCTATATTTATTTTACACTGGTTATCAAGACTCTACTGCGAGATTGTACAGTTGATATACTGATGATGTGTGGGATCTAATGTATATAAATAAACCTGGACCTATATATATATATACACACACACACACACACACACATTGATGTCTTTTATTATACTTATAAATTTAATACTTTATTTTATTACGCAACTGTAACGTAAAATGTGAGACTTAATAGTACGATCATGTTCTAAAAGTTCGAAGTAGACTTTTCATTAATGAAGGCCGTTAGTTGTTGCAGTTTTCAGAAGTTTAAAGTCGGACATCTCAGCAATTAAGACTCGTGCACCCTCAAGTTCCTTTAAACTAAAAAAAGCAAAAAAATGAATTATAAATTAACTAATAAATAAAGCTATTTTACTTAGTTAAATTCATAAGGAATTATGAATTTTTCCATATGGCACAATTAAAATTAAACTTTTTATTTAATTCTTTATTCGCGGAAAATATTAATTTTACAAAGAAAGTATTTTACTGATTTCTATACATGTTTTATGGAATATTTTAGAAATAAAAATAAAAAAGGTAAAACAAATCGATCATATGGAGGTGTATTATTTCTAGAGATTGAAATAGATTTTTTTTGAGACACAAATGTTATACATTGTTCTTTCTATAATAAATTTTTACAATGCTGTAGATTATAAAAGAGCTTGGTATAACATTGAAAAATTTAAAAGTTTTGGTAAATTAAATTTGAAGATTGCAATTAGATAAATAAAAGCTTAGATATTATTAATTTTAAGTTGTACTTTAAATGGCGGCTTTATGAAGTGAGAGATTTAAATACTAATATTTTTATTTTAGCAACAGTTATTAAAAATTTATGACTTATTCTAATTTTTGCGAGATGAATATTCACTGATAAAAAATGACAATTTTAGTGAAAAGGAATTGTTATTTAAAATCACACCGTTGAATATTGACTATGGATAGATTGTATGAGTACAAATCAACGATTATATAATATTATTACAATATTTATGAGAATATTCATAACAGGACGGGAGAATATTTCTCATTCCATATACTGATACTGGAGAGTTGACTTGGAGATGTAGTTACACGGAACAGTAAATGGCAATCCCATTTCTGTAATTTAAACGAGAAACTATGTATCTTGACATAGAATATCCTTTGTTCTATATCTTTCAAATAACTACGAACTTCCATTTTTTAAATTTTATTTAACCGTATATATGTTTAT